CCCCACCCCGGCCTACCGGGAACAGCCACTTCACGACAAATCATCAAAGTTTTCACAATAAAGTAGGCGGCCTTCACTCGGGGACAGAATTGCTTTTCGAAAAGTAATTTAGCGGGCTTATTAAGCAGCAAGCACATTGGCATGACTATCTGTATCCACCCACTCATATTGGATACCTTTGCATTCGGGCCGCCTGCGCCTTCTGGATGGACACGACTTGCTGGGCCACCACCGAGAGGACCTCGATGTCGATGCGATTGAACTCATCAAAACAGGCCCACGCGCCGGCGCTGTAAGGTAACGGGAATCATCAGGTGGGCTGCGACGGAGCTGGAGGGGAGGGGAGGGGGTGGGGGTTGGGTCTAGGTTAGGTCGCTTCTCAATCCGCTAACCGCCAACAACACTGGGAAAGCAGAGGCAGTTCCTGGGGAGGGATTCGACCAAAATGGTCAGGGTCACCAATTTAAGATGTCTTTCCCCGCGTCTTTCTGAATCGTTTGACGTCGTAATGTTATTGGACTCGCTGGCTAAACGTGCCTGCTTAGGTCCACCAGTGTCATCTGTTTTTGTAACATTTCCCTTTGTCACCTGTGAATCACGGTGACGATTTGTAAATCTTTTCAGTATGGGCGCAATAACAGTATTGAGTTACAATGACATCAAGATTTCTCAGAGATGACGCCAACCATTGCGCAACTCTATCGGCACCCTACAGTCATGACACAACTTTCTTTCTTCGGGCATTGCGAATCTCTATCGGAATCGTCACGAAAAATGGATGGGTTAAACCAGAGCGGACACCTTCACCGACCTTGCAATTCCTTTGAAGAACTTGCCCATGGCCTGGACATCCAGTTGGTCGGAGCAGTTGAAGACGACGCACTGAATCGCCATGGCTTTGGCCAAGTCCTGCAGCAGTGAGCAAAGGGAAACAGAATAGGTCACATTGGCACTACACCATTTGTCAGATATTTCAGGGCCGCACGGAAAAGACAGATTAGCTCTATAGCTGAATCAATAGCTAAATACAGGATAATTATATATTTGGTTATTAGCTAAAAATTTAACATTAAATTGGAAATTAGCTGAATTACCAGCTACATAGCTAAATAATTCGTTTTCCCGTATGTAGCTATTGGTTTAGCTCCACAGGGGAGCACCTTGGTGGTCTCGGTCTTGCCGGTGCCGGCCGGCCCCGCGGGCGCCCCGCCGAAGTTGAGATGCAGCGCGCCGGTGAGCGTGAGGTAGCAGCGGTCCGTCAGCGGCGTGATGACGAGGCGGCCCGAGTTGCCCAGGTACTCGTAGCCGTACTGGAACTCGGCGTTGACGGCGCGCACCTTGAGCGTGGCCTCATCCTCCTGCACCCAATAGTACCTAGAACAAAACGTTATTATGCACAGCCAGCCCCCGTTGTGGAATGGTAAATCAAAGTGTCGCACCCCCGGCCTCTCGGCATTGTATTATCGTGGTATTTGGGTCGTCACCCCCCCTCCTCCATCCCCACGCGGCACCGGGGCCAGTGAGGGCGCGTGCACTGGATTGGAAATGTCGTATCGGGTGCGAGGGGCTGGGGGCGACGGTCGGGCTTGTTCCACTGAGGCGCCGTAACCCCCCGGTCCAACGCTCAGATCACGCCAGTAATCCTCCATCCCCGTGTGCGAGTCTTATTATAAGCTCTCTCTCTTTTGCGCGCCCTTCTTTTTGGAAAACTGTTTACATATCAAAAATATTTGGCACGCACTGTTAGTCCAGGCTAAACGGAACGCAGCGTTCCGCGGCAAACAGCATCGGAAGAATTGCAAATAAGTGGCGGAAAAACAATCCTCCGTCCCCCTGTTTGTCCGGATGAGAGACATCGAGACGACAGATATGTTGGTTCTGAATCCTCGTCGTGACTATTGACCTTCGTACCGCGTTACCTGAGCTGGCTGATCCAATCGAAGTCGTTGGCAGAGGGGACGTTGTTCGCCACGAGCCCGTCCAGCACGTCCCGGGCGTGCAGCTCGACTACAATCAGCGCCGACATGACCTGCCGCTCCATGCGCGACAGCTGGCCCCGAACAAGGCCTCGGTACGTGTCCATCTGAAATATATATATATTGTCAAGAAATGTTACAAACAATATGCTGCGCAAAAATAATAGCGGGCCCAAAAGCTAAATACGGGATAACTAATTTTTAAGCTATGTAGCTGGGTATTTATCTATTTTTACCAACACAGCTAATTTTTAGCTAACTAGCATTTTTTTGCGAAATAGCTCAATTTTTGGGTTCACAGCTAATATTTGGTTATCCACAACTTAGCTATTGGAATAATTTCTAATTTTTTCTTTGTGCGGAAGACAAAAGTAAGTTTATGAATCAAAGGTAAACTAAATACAAGCGGTTTAGGAAATGGTCAGGAATGTAATGCCGTACGCGACGGTGACAGGAATGTCGGCCTCGGGTCGGCAGCTAATTAAGGGTGTGACCCAATTCTACCTTTTGCGGTTTCGCCACTTCTTCTCACACCCGCTTCTATAGAAGCTAAGCTAAGACATGGACAAGAAAACTGCTGCTGGCAGCATTTCGTGTCCGCCCTAGGGCCCCAAGGTTCGCCCCGTCGTGCCATGTTACTGGAGTGACGCCAGAAATTCCAAGTTTACAAACTTGTACCAGAAACACGGGCCCGGGAATACCGTCTCGCTGGGGGAGGCTGTGGTGCCCGGCAAGATCTTGCGGCAAGCGGTCGGCAAGTGGTCGGCCCCGGTGTACGAGCTGGCACGCTCGCAAAGTGTGCGACCAGCGCCAACACGTTTTGGCGGGCGGGCTTGGGGCCACTGCACTCTCCTCGATTGGGTGGGGAGGGTCTAATCAACGCCACCGGGAGGGGGCATGAAGAGGGGGGGGGGGGGCTTGCTGTCCTGACCGCGACGACGGCCTCGAGTGGGGTAGGGGCACGGGCAGAGGGCCCGAATAAGGGATCATTCAGAGAGTACATTCGCCGTTACTCTCGAGTTCAGCCGCTGCCAGCTCTCATAGCGCCTGATGGGTAGGCAACATCTTGAGTGCAGTGCATGCGTGCACTGCGGGCTGGCCTACCCTGAGTCTCGCAGGCGCTCCCAGCTCCCGTGATTAGACGTTATCTCAAAAGACGTGGCGAAAAAAAGTGGGCTGCTGCACTCACGTGGGCGTGCATCGTCTTCTGGAAGGTGGGCAGCCCACCCTCCCGGATGGCCTCCTCCACGCCGGCCGTCCAGGCCGTCTGGCAGCCCGCAATCACCACCTGGCCCGGCCAGCGCAGCACCCAGTCCGCGCGTCCCCGGCCCGCCATGTCCGTCAGCGCCAGCCCCAGCGTCTCCTGCACCGTGCTCTGCATCGTTTGCTCCACCTGCGCACTTCCAGCGTATTGAGAGTGCACCTTTCCTGCAGCCAGAGGCTGTTAGTCGCACCGTCCGCCCTCCTCACCTTGCTGAGCCAAATTTCTACATTTCCCTTGGGGAACATGTGAGGGATAAGCTCCACACTCTCGCCCTCGGCCGAAAACATGGTGGTGATCTGCAAGTCCTCCTCTTGAAAGTGTAGCTTTAAATTCGAAAATACGAATCAGAACACCGGACATCCCATGAGATTCTCTTTAACTTTGAAAACAGCATTTTAGAAAAATACGCCATTGTAACAACCGCAATTTACCTTGTAGATGTTCTCGAAGCACTTCTTGAGATGAGGCTGCACAGCAAGTGGATTGCGATTTTGTGCCAAGATCTCGAGAAGTTCGTCGTCCGAGAGAAAGTAGAATCTTGGAAACGCCATTCGCTTGCCCTCCAGGTAGTCTGAGAGGCCCTTGAGCACCTGCTCCAGTAACGCGCGGTTCTCCTTGAGCTGTTCGAGGAGCCTCTTGTCGGGGCAGATGGCGACGGGCTGTGCATTAAGCACATACGAGAAGCACATTAAGCGGGGTAGTCTAAAACAGCAGACAACACAAGCAGCAGGATAAAAAAAAACATTAACAGGTAATATTAAGTCCCCAAATTGATCAACATGCACGCGCAACACCCTCTCTCGAAGAATAAAAAATAAAACTTTTACAATTACAGGAGGAAAATCATAAAATCATTCAGTGAGACAGAGCGCTTCAGCGCTTCGCTCAACTGGAATACATTATTGCCGACAGAAGATCAGCGCAGCGGATGCTAACTAAAAACGGCGAGAGGCGTCACACAGACGTCGTGAGCTGTCAAACACTCCCCCCCTCCTCCTCTCTAGCCCCCGGATCAACCTTCGGGTAGTCGGAGGCCGTCTTCATTATGCGTCGCCAAAAGCGCTCCATGGCGGCGTACTTCTTCATCTCGGCGGGGAGCTGGCGCGCTATGTCCTCGCTGCAGAAGATGGGCTCCAGGTACATCCACTGTCTGGCCGAACAGCACAAGGAGGGGTGAGCGCAGACGCACACATGTGTTGGAAGTAAAACCGAGGGGGCGCGGGCACGCCTTACATCTGCAGCTGGATCCACTCCTCCAGGACGTCGGATATGAGGCGCAGCTTCTCCTCCCACTCAGCCACCGGCTTCTCGAACACGCCGACGTACGGGCTGAACGACATTTGCTGCACGGCCAGGATGTGGTCGTCCAGCATCTGCAGGTCCTCGTCCGTCACCTTCATGATGTACGTCCCTGATTATGCACGGCCACACGTTTAATCCAACGAAAACAAAAACTTTAAATATTTGGGAAGGGGGGGGGG